GTTGAGTGTCTGCAAGCAAACAACCAAGCTCAGAGAGCACCGAGGACTCCATAATAATAATAATTCCTTAGATCAGGGTTTTTCCAACTGTGCTTTGCAGAACCTCTGAGTTCCTTGAGAGCTTGATGGAGTTCCATGACCAACAAAAGGAAAACGAAGCCAGTTTTCAGACATAGAGCTTTGCCTGTTGATAAGGGATTCCAGGATGGTTTTTTAACCAGCAACTTCCCCAGCCTGAAAACGCTTGGACCCTCCTGCTGTAGAGTGTGCAAGAGGACCTGTCTGGTCGAAGCAGCGCCCTGCTTCCTAACATAGAAGGACATTCTTTCACTGGCTCCTGGGCTTTGGGCAGTCCTCACTTCAGCCCTCATTCCCCTTGTTACCCCACCCCACCCCAGCCCACCCAGCCCTTCCTGCCTCTTTATTTAGAGGGTGGTGTAATTATGGAAACCATGCACAGGAAAAGCTGGGTTTCAAAAAGGGCCTTCCTCTGTGGGTTTCCGGGTTAGAAGCTGCCTGCCTGGAAAAAGGGTGTGACTTGTTCTCCCCGCAGCCCACCCCCCATGTGACGCAGCACCTCGCCCATGGCCCTGTCTGGGCGCACCCAATGCAGTATCTGAGCTTCTATGCGGTTAGGCCGTGCTCGGGGCCCCTGAGGAAAGCTGCTGTTCGCGAGTATCTTGAGCATTTTTTTCTTTCGCCCACTCCGGTGGAAATGAGAAAGATCCGTGGATTGCGAGAATATAACCCTGCTTTGATTTCTCCTGAACGTGTTCACTTATTAGCTCTTGTTCTTAAAAATCGAAGTGCGAAAGGCCGGTCCCTGAATCCCAAATCAAACTGGGCTGTTTTGGAGTGAATCTGAAATGGAAATACTGCAACTCCATTTGGAACATAAGCATTACTTTGAGAGCAACCTGGGATTTTTTAAAAAACCCCTGTCTGCAAAACACAAAAATAGCAAATCAATATCCCTTTATTATTATTTTTTCCTGTTCCACGTAGGGAAAAGGACAGATGAGGGAAGCCACCAATAGATACAATCAAAATATTTGTGCAATCATTATCTCCACAATTGTACTTGTTATCGAAAATAGCCATTCTGGGGGCCTCATACGGGAAACAACTAACAACAGATATCAAAGCGGATGAAAGAAATAAAAATGACAGCTGCTAAGCTGCAGAGATTAAAATGGCAGAGATGAAGCTGATCAACAGATCACGTTCCTGTGTAAATATAGACAACTACAATTAAATATTTTGTTCTGTGCGACATGTTCACTCACATGTTCAGTGCCAATCAATGTACGATATTTTTCTTCATTGTCCTGTAAAGAAACGAAACCAGAAAACCAGCTGTTTTCCTTTAAAGCAAAAATCCCCCAGCCTTTAAATCAGTGTTTCTCAAACTTGGCCACTTTAGGATGTGTGGACTTCACCTCCCAGAATTCCCTAGCCAGACATGCTGGCTGGGGAATTCTGGGAGTTGAAGTCGACACATCGTAAAATTGCCAAGTTTGATAAACACTGATTTAAAGGCTGGGGGATTTTTGCTTTAAAGGAAAACAGCTGGTTTTCTGGTTTCGTTTCTTTACAGGACAATGAAGAAAAATATCGTACATTGATTGGCACTGAACATGTGAGTGAACATGTCGCACAGAACAAAATATTTAATT